CAAAAAACCCCAACTAAAAACAGAGCAAAAAAAAAAAAAAAAAAAAAAAACCAAAAAAAACAACAACAAACCCAAAAAAACCACCCAAGCCACCTTGGTAGCAAAACATTTGTGGCCCAGGAAGTAAATTTCAGTACATTCTGCTTTAGATAAGTCTTTGCCCACAAAACCTAAAAAAGAATTAGTTTGTTAAAAATAGTTAATTAGATGATACTATTTTCCTTTGCAACAACAAACCCAAAAAAACCACCCAAGCCACCTTGGTAGCAAAACATTTGTGGCCCAGGAAGTAAATTTCAGTACATTCTGCTTTAGATAAGTCTTTGCCCACAAAACCTAAAAAAGAATTAGTTTGTTAAAAATAGTTAATTAGATGATACTATTTTCCTTTGAAGTGCCTCCTTTTTGCAAGGACTACTCTCCCATCCTGAAATTTGGATATAAATGTTCTTAAGGAAGAAGAGTTGAGAGCAGCAATAGTAGTGGTGGCAGCAAATTAAATACTTTCCAAAGTATTTAATTTGTTCATACTCATCTGTACAAAATTTGCCATAGTGGTCCAGGCAACTGTTTTTCTTGGTGAGATGAGAAAAGTGTTGACTTTATATCACAAATCACATCTGAAGTCTAAAAAATGAGCTACTGCTGAGCTGCATCAACTCTTGCTTGGAAGGTAATAGTGAATGTTGAGATTTTTCTTCAGAATGTTCCTGATGCAGCTCAGTTGCAGAGGGAGGTGAGGGACCTGCAGGTCTCTTTGTCATCTGGCTGCAGGAATTTTGTAAGAGGGTACCACATGAAACATCCTTACAGATTGTTTTCATGGAGGCCCCTGACTGAATTACTGAGCACCCTGAAATAGGTTTCAGTGCATTTAAGGGTGAAAAAAATCATGGAATCGTTAAGGGTGGAAAAGACCTCCAAGATCAACAAGTCCAGCCATCAGCCACCACCCTGTCCACCATTTAACCAAGTGCTGAATCTGCTGTTACCTGCAACTCAGTATTTGTTTAATGGCATATCTTATATTCTTTCTCTCTTGCTGCTCTTTAGAAAAAAAGTGGCAGAGGAAATCCTAAGAATGCCCTCCTAGACTGTGGTTTGTACTTGTTGTACAACCCTTCTTCCTGTCTTTCTTGAATTTCTTTGGGACTTAAAGATACCAAAAAAATAAAAAGCTGTCCCCTACAGTGTAATGTGCTTTTAGGATAGTATTGTGCTGCTAAAACTTAGCAATAGAGGAGACTAATTTTTACTGTTAATGCAGTCTGTTTAAAAAGTCGTGTCAGTTTTCCTCTGGTGCTGATGACTGAGATGTGGGAGTTTGTCTTGTTCCACTGGGGAACTGCTGCATTTTCATAATAATTTTTGGAGCTTCAAAATTGCTGCCATCTTGGGAAAAGACAAAAAGTCTTTTTTTTTTTTTTTAATTGGAAAGGCAATTTCCTTGGTGTTTTATCTTCATGTAAAATACATCTTACATCTTGGAAATCTCCTGTTGAAAGTGTTGTCGGATCCAGAATGCCTCTGATACGTTTGGACTTCAAAGCATGATCTGAAATGAACTGAAAATGTCCAGAGCCCTGCTACAAATCAGGCGCCTTCCCTGTGCCGAGCAGTCGTGCTGCTTGTTGATTGAGTTGGAAGGACAGGGAAAGTACTTGCTTATATTTTCAGATCCTGCATTTTACTTGCAAATATAGTCCTTGGAGAGGTCTGCAATCAGGCCTTTTGTTTGCTTTTTTGTTAGTCCAATCTAAGCGACAGGCCTGGCTTGTTTAGGAGAGCTGCAAAGCCTGTCTAGCCTTGGCCAAGTTCTGAACAGTTTAGGTTTTCTCCCATCTTTCCAAGCATCCCATCCCCATGCACCTGGAGAACTATTTGGCTGAAGTTTCATCTCAGTGTGGTGAAAGGCTGCCTGTCACATGCTCAGAAATGGCTGGGGTTTTTTAGTCTCTTGTCATCTCCAGTGTCATGGTCTTTGCAATGGGGTTGTAAAAGACTTTTGGGGAAGGGTTTGGCATTGCTCTGATCCCCAGTTTCAGCCTAGTAGAATATCATTTTTAGCATACCTTGTGGTGTGTCCTGTTGCTAAACAAGGATGATGTTCACTGAAGAGATCTTAGACATCTGAAGAGCCAGGCTCTTTGTAAGAGTGTGCAGCAGAAAAATTACCAGCAATGGATGCAATTAATTACAATGGGATGTCCCTACTTGATATGAAGAAAAGGTGTTTCACTATGAGGATATCTAAGTGTGGAAACAAGTAGTTTAGAGCAGTTTTCAAGTTTTTATCCATCAAGGCTCTCAAGATCCAGAGCAACCTGGTCTGTTTTTGTGGCTGAGCCTGCTTGGAGCAGGAGGTTGGGCTGGAGACCTTTTGTGATCCATTGCCACCTGAACTACACTGTGGTTCTAGGTAAGGCAAGAGGTTGCACAAGAAGTGAAAATCAGGAAATAGTACTTGCTTGGTCTCTCTTCCACTTCAGAACACAACTCTCACCCCTGTTTCTCCATCTGCAGTTTGTCTAGTCAAGTAACAGTACTTGCTTGTCTAGAAGAATTTTTATTGTGAATTACTTTTGAACACTTGTTTTCATTTATTTAATCTAAAGGCAGAATTGATCTCCCTCTCCCTGACTCCTCTATGATTATTGCAAATTATTGCTCTTTGACTTTCTTGCATAGATGGTTTGGTAATGGCTTATTGTACTGCTGTGGTATTGGAGAAAGAATTTAGGATGTGACTAGCAGAAGGAGAGTCTCCTTTGGAGTTCCCTGACTGAAGGCAGTGTTTTAAAGCCCAGTATGAGAGGGAAGCTGCTTAATTTTGATTTGTGTCTCTTTTGAAGGACAGCCTGACAAGCTGAGATTGGTACTTGTTTGTATTTTTGTGTGTTACTTTTTGACTGCTCTAAATGCAGTATGGATCAAAAAAATTAGGAAGTTTGAGTTTATTGTATGGAGAAAGGTTAAATAGAGTATTCTTTTAAAGACTGTACTGGTTTGCTTCAGTTTTTAATACCCTTTGTTCATATAAAGTTATTAACATGTTGACTGTATTTGCCTTTATTGCCCCTATGCAAATTGTTGTTGATCGAGTTAATTTAAACAACCTGTTTGGGACCTTCAGGCATTACTACACTAGAAATGTTAATAATGAATCAAATAACCACAGGTGCCTCTTTCCCCAGCAACAGACACTCTCCTTAAAAACTCATTTGCTTTTCATGCTTGTTTAATTATTTAGGCAAGCAGCCATGGATGTTTCACAGTGTGAATTCTCGTCGTGTTCCAACTACCCAGTCTTTGTCTTTCCAGAGGAATATCTTAACCACTGTCACCATTTTTTGTACTTTGCCAGAATGCCACACTATGGTCTTGAAAAGCCTTTTGGAAATTGCTTGTAGAAGGGTTATTGTTTTATAACTTTATGGAGCTTACAGTCAAACAGAAACTTCCATTCAATGGTAGCAGCTTTATTTTGTGCTACTCTCCAGAAGTTAAAGTGACCTGGTAACTGTATGAATGGGAGATTCTCTGTTTCCCCAGGAGAGTTTAAAATCCTGGAGGGTGTTAGACTGATGAATTCCTGTGTTCCTGGAAATGAGGTGTTTGTTGTTATTTCTGAAAGTGGAAGTATATTGGTATTTGTGAACAGATCAGGCATGATGTGAAAGCAAGAGGAAATTATGAAAGGATAAGAGTCTCTCTGGAAGTGTCCCTTTGAAATCAGTGTCTGATGACTGACAGATGTGAAATGAAAAGACTGTCTCCAAAAAACACTGTGAAGGGCAAAGAGCATAACAAGTAGAAGGATCTTGTTGTGAAGATGTAACTGAATAATTGGAAGCCATTCCTTCACTAAATGCCCCTTTTAATTAACATAATGTGTTTGATAATGAGAACAGAAATTAACTATTGGTAAAGGATAACATCTTAGAGAATCTTAAGGTCTCCTGTAAAAAGAGGTTTTTGCAGTGCCTTGGTGAGCACGTACTTCTTTGTCTGAAAAATGTCTTCCTGCTAAAGAAGCTACTTGTTTTTTTGTTTTGCCTCTTTTTTTAAAATAAAAAAAAAAAAAATCAGTGATGGGTCCACATGCTTGTAAACTTACTCTGTTAAATATGAGTTCAATCTAAGAGAATATGGTAAAAACTATCAGGGTATGCAGATATTTTAAAATCTCCCTTCTAACAGAGGTTGACTCCCCTCTTTTGCATTAGGTGTTGATGCTTAAACCTAGTGATTGCATCAAGTTTAGGAAATTTTAATATATGGTGAAAATCTGCACAAAAGAGCACAAGTCTTATGAAAGTATATAAAGCAATTGTCTCACTTCAGTTTTGATTGGGGAGAGTTTGGAGAAATACTGTTTTTCAGTATGATCCTTTTAAATTAAGGGGAAAAGAGGCTAAAGTTGATGTGGTGAGCTTTAAAGCTGCACCAATTCAAGTTTAAGCCAGAGACATCCTTTTAGAAGGGCATTTTTGTTTATTCACCATTCTAAGAACTCATATAAAATTAGGTTTTATAAATGCAAATGTCATATGATTCTAAATTTGGAACGTTAAGCTTTTGATGGATTGGAGTATATGAATTTTTATAAGAAGTTCTTAATGAAGAAAGAACTAGAAATTAAAGTAGGCCTCTAAATTAATTCTCCTAATTTTCTAAGCTTAATGGAGTGCAGAAAAACCAAATGATGAGAGTAAAGAAAGACCTCTCTAAATGCCTATTTTATATCATATCTCTTCTATCACGGGATCTGTGTGTGTGTATGAGTAATAGCTGAAATCAGTGATAGCAGAATAAAATTTTAGTGAAAGGGCCACCTTCCACTAAACCCAGGAGATCTTAGATATCATGTTTCAGGAGTTCAGTGGCATTACAGATTTCTGGGTGAGCTTTACGCCATCTTTAATTTTTTATTTATGAGAAGTGCCTCAGACCTGTGAATCTGTTAACTTTTAAAGTTGAGAAGCATATTGTGTGAGAGGGCCTGAAGTCTTTATTCCTACTGATTTGCCAAAAAAACCTGGAAGCAATTAAATATTCCTGATCCTTTTTTGACCCTGACATTAAAAATGTGTGAGCTTCATGAGAAAAACAATACAGAACATGGACTGTACTGTATATTTTGCTTCCTTTCTAAATTGGTAGTTACCAAAAACTACAAAGAAATGGGCTTGTGAGCAAAAGAAATAAATTCCTTCATTTACCATTTCTATTTTAATTTATTGTTTTGTGCAAATACGTTGCCTGCACCTTGAAGTCAGTCATAAAACACTGATGATGTGGGTGAAGTGGAAAAGCAGGTTATATTTAAGTGCATTACTTCTCAAATAAACCATAGATCAGGAGACTTTTAGTTAGGCCAAGGAAAGAAGGCTAAATAGTAATTGAGCACATTTATTATTCATTTGTCTTTGCTTTAGATTTAATTTGGAAATCACTTTGATTGTTAGAACTTCACTAGAAAAAAAATACCTGCTTCTTTATGCCTCTTCATATTTATTTGCTCTTTATTATTGCATTTATGGAAAGTTTGCCTGGGAGAAGTTTCTTAGGGAGTGACATGGTTTGATGGTGACAAACATCAAGTGTTTGGATGTCGTGACAAGGAAGAAGGCTAGAAGGAAAAAATGCTTGTTTGGATTATGAGTTTTATGGGTTTGTTTTTGTTTTTTTTGTAGACTAATATGAGAGAACTAGATGAGTTTGTGAAGCCTCTCATGGAAACATCATATGTACTTGGCTCCACTGAAGTAACTTTATTGATTTGTGCGGTGAAATCGTCCTTGCAGAACAAGATCTAAGTGATGAGGTTCAAGATTTATAGTAACTTGGTCTGCCAGCTTGGAAGGCTGAAATTACAGCCAAGCACTCATTCTTTATGTTAATATTTTTTAGACAAAAGGTCAAAACAACCCTTTTCGAGCTTGCAGTGAATCCAAAGCCAGCTGAAATGCTGCACACATTTTGCTTTAGTGATATCTGTTCTGTCTCAGTGGCTCGTGGAAAGTCACACGCTCTCAGGCTCCAGTATGAATTGCCAGATTCAGTAGGTGTGTGGTTTTTTTCTGTATAAAATTTGGTGATTTACTTCCTAGAAAATAGACTTCTCATTCAGAGGGTATATTTTGCCCTTTTCTTTTCCCTAGAATAGTGCTTCTATGTTGTCTGCTATTTCAGGAAGAAAAAGGGCAGTAAAATTTAAGGCTATATTTTTGCATCTTCTAGGCCAGTCCAACCATTGGTCAGACACAGCATGAAATACACTAATTTCTCACTAACTATGGAATGAATTACCATCATACCATGTATAATTCATTGCACAGTCATTTTCAGGATCTGTGATCATTCTGAGGATATCTCTGAAATTCTAATTTCTCATTTTTTGAATATATTTGAGAAAAATACACATTAAGAACATTTTCACATAAACATTTTGAAGGGCTAGGTGAAAATATGTCAGTTGTTTGGGGGTTTGGCTGTTGTTGAGATACATATATTTTAGCTAGGTTGGTAGAACCATCCATACACTTGGGAGGAAAGCCTGCTTTTAACCTAATGTTGGCAAAGCTCTTTGAAGAAATGGAAAGAGCAATAGTTTTTGGCTTGTACCGTAATCACCACTGAGTTGTGTAATTGACTGCTAAGTAAACACTTCACCATCCAGGCATAGGAAAGAGAGGGGCAGTTTTGTTCCATAAGAGCAACAGATTGTTCAAAAAGCAACCATTGTTCAAAACAAACCAAAAACCTTCTTGCTTGGAGTGTAGGAGGATGGATTTTTTTTATACTAACCTTGACCTTTACATATGCCTTGGGGGAAGCAAGGTGTTCATGGAGCTCCGTGGGAATGTTTGAGACTGATTGGGAACTGGAGTATATCCTGCCTTTCTTGCTGACCACAAAAACACATCTTAAGATAGAGAAAGAAAACTTCCTCAGACTTGTAAAATACAAATATGGTTGTCTGTGCTATAAATTGCAAATCAGAGTATGAAGAGTAACTCCTACCCTCAATTTACATCCTCCTGGGGTGCAGTGAAAGAGGGGATGGGAGCAGAGCTCTGTCCCTGGTGCCTGAGCAAGTTTAGTGTGGTTTAGGGCTTTTCAGATTTTTTTGGTGCTGTTTTTTGTTTTATTCTTAATGTTTTTAATGTGATGTGAGGCAATGTCCAAACAGCAAGATATGACAAATAACCCTTGGGGCATGTAGCACCACTCCTTGATTTGGTGAAAAGTTTGGTGTGTGCTTGTGCAATACTTAATTATGCCACTACAGATGATCATGCAGAACTGAAATTTGCACTGACTTGTATTTGCTCATGTTTTGTAATGGTACAAGATAAATGACACTTTATATATACTGATATTACATTTATGTCTACTTAATGCCTTATAACATGACAACTGAAAAACTACTACACAGGAGCACTGAGCCCACTGAAGAGCATGATGAACAACTTTTTATAATTTCTTCAATATAAACTTATGCTTTGATTTACAATGCTAATTTGTGCAGATTTTGACAGGCACTGAGTATTATCCTGTACATATGAATATTGCTTGTATAACTTGAATTTTTTTTAAGCAGGTTAAGATTTTGAAAGTTGGGGTTTTCTCCTTTCCATATAAATGTTCTATTAAAAACATTTGTGGTTTATGATCTACATAATGCTTTTTTTGTCTTTTAATAGGTGAATGTCTATGTGCTGGGAAAAACCTTCCTTGTGTTGGCCAGAGAACTCTGCATAAATGCTCCAGCCATAGGTATTTTTTTAATGATTTGACTTTTGACTATTTGAGTCTTTTATTCCTATGGTTACTTGAGAAAAAAAAAAAAAAAGTATGTATGGTGAAGCTGGAATCAATCCAGGCTGAGAAGCATTGCTGACTATAAGAGCCTGTTCTCCTTTATGGAAGAGCTTTTTTGGAAGTAGATGCTGTTTTCTTTTGCAAATAGTTTTGTTGCTTTTTCCAAGAGTAGTTTGGGCTATACTAAGACAATGGACTGACGTGTAACAAATTTGTGTGTGTCAGCAAGCTCCTACAGGCCTGTCACGCTTCAATTCCACAGATGCAACATTTGATAAGTATTTGCCAAATTTATTATCTGTCCATCACCTGTAGCTGAGCTGTTCAGAGTGGCTTGGTGGAAAATGAGAAGCAACTTTTTCCAAACATATGAATAACTTCTAATAAGTCAACACTGAAATTGTAACACTGATAGGAAGGTGGGTTTTAACCTGTTGAAAGGGTATAGAAGCCATTCTCTTGGTTGTGGGTTTAAGCCAAGGGAATTTGTGCCAATTCCAGTTAAAAGAGTGCATTTATACTGCGATCTTGTGACTGTTATCCACCTCTGTGCAGGAATTATCTGCCTGCATCTTTATCCACTCTCACTCCCACTCTCTTTAATCTGTACCAAGAGAATCAGATGGCAGTGTTGCAGAAGGACAGCACAGGCACACCCCTCAGCTGTACTGGGCTGGCACAGGGCTGCTGCCTCTGCAGCGGGGGAGCATCGCCACGGGCAGCGCAGCACAGCTCCAGCTCTGCTGCAGAGGTCTTGTTCTCAGTAATTCACTTCCCTTCTTACTTTCCATTATTTTTTGTGGTCTTTTTTTTAGAGAGAGAAAACAGGCAGGATTTGCACTGCAGCTTAGTTTCAAGGTGAAAATTAATGCAGCTTAGGAAAAGGCAAACGTGTTAGATGTAGAGGTACTCGTTATACACGGAAAAAATACTGGCTTAGACTGCTGTTTGAGCACTCTCTTCCAAGCTCACCCTAAGATTTACAAAATCCAGTAAATATTTCTAATTAGCTCAGCTATCATCATGAGACCTTTGAGAAAAAACTTATCACTTTCTGAGAAAAGGACTAGCATAGAATGATTGCTGATAATGCCTGAGACTGTGTTTTTCAAAAAAGAGCAGGAGGAAAGATCCAACAGCCTTTTTTAAGGTGGCTTATTTCTAATTAGTAATCTTAAGTGAACCTAGACACCATCTTGCAAGCATTTCTCTAATGCCCGCTGCTCTGTATAAGGATGGGATGTAAATTCAGATAGTGTCTGCCAGTAAAACAGCCCTGGGCTAAATTTGTGATGCAGCCCTGTCACTGCATTAATTAACTTCATCTGTGTGTCTTGACTCTGGCCGTTCAAGGGCAGGGGGGTGTAGTTTGACAGGTGCAAGTGGCAATGTTGCTGTTTGGTGGGCAGGCTGGAGGATAACAGAGATGCTGCATGTGAAGGGGCATTAGGAGTTTTCAAATATAACCACAGGATTATTTTGATCAGTTTTGATTACACTGATGGTTTGTCTATCTTCAGCTTGGGCAACACACAAAAAACCCTAAGCTTCTTCAAATGTCAGCTCCTTTTCTCATGAAGGGAAAAATAAAGGCTGCTGATGGATAGTTTCAGTTACCAAGAGAGGGAACCTTCCTATTTGCTGGGCGTGGATACACACAGGGACCGGACTACAGTGTCATCACCCGTTAGCTGTACATGAATTAACACACACGAGCCATAAGGTCAGCAAAGATCAAGTACACAGGATTTAGGGCAAGTAAAAATGTTTTATATTTCACAGATTCTTAAACTGCTCTAGTTTAGAACATTCTGTTTGAGTCAGCTGCAGTCTGCAAGTTAGTTATCTATATACAAAATAAATGCACAGTACGTGCAAAATTTAACATTTTTCTGCATGTTGCAGTCTTAATAATTAAGTCAAATAGCTTATGAATAAATAAAATAAGATTAAATTCAAGAGCATTCCTTCACTTATTTGTATAGCCTGATGTAGCACATAGGTAAGTAGCATAACATTCCATACTGCTGCAGAGTTCGTAGTAAAACCGAAAACTCCCTTAATGTGCATCATTGCAGCACTGGAATACAATCAAGGTGAAATGCATCATGCATAGAAAATGAGCTCAGGTATTTGTCCTCCTTGTACTCCGGTTCCATTGGTACTGTCCGAGGAGCACTGGAACTGGAACGTCACTTTCCCGCACTGCACTTCAGTCATTCCCTCTTGTCCAAAGTAACTGAGTTCGTTACCATCGAGAATAGCACTTACATTGTAAAACGTGTCTTGCTCAACCTGCACGGGGTGTTCAAACCACACAGAGAAGGTGTTACTGGAGCCGTCAGAGGTAAACTTTGTCAGATTTTGAGCAAGAACAACGCCTAAGCGCTTCAGTTCGATTTTGACGCTGTATTCAGCTTTGCCACAGCTTGACCCATACAATCCCAGTCCTGCTATAAATATCCGTTTGTCTACGGCAAACTGAATACTGTCACATCGCCCCCGGTACCTCCACTGATTGCTGCGATACGCAGACGACTGAAACCGGTGGCAGCGCTGAGGCACGAGTCCTTTTCTTTTCGTCAGGGGGAACTCTAATTTGGGTTTATTTGCGGCTGTGTACCATAGGAATATGTTGTGAGTCTCCTCGAGGGTGAGGATGTCGGACTGGGCAGCTCCGTTGGCAAACTCTTCCAAAGTCATGGTTGGAATCCGCACCAAGTACAAAGCTTTCCCTAATACATTCCTCTTGTTGCGTGGCGTCACCGGCAGCCCTTGCCTTTTGCATTCGGCCTCTGCCCAGTTGAGAACAGCCTCGAAAACTACCACTTCCTTGGTGTTGAGCGCTTCCCGGGTTACAATGATCTCTAGTGTTTGTTGATCTATCTCACAGAAGCCCTCTGACTTCAGAGCCATTTCTGCCTGAGCATCAATCACTTCCCAGCAGCGCTGCGTCAGCTCTGGCTCCTCGAAGAGCCTGCTCTGAGACAGCAGGACACAAGCGTTCTTCGCTTCTAAGCTGGTCTCCAAAAAATTGACGCAAGCCTTTGCTAGGGCCGGCACGATGTACTTCTTGGCAGCATAGAGTGTAGCCAGAACTGTGTCAGCTTCCAGGTCTATTTCATCGCTGTACATGTATCTAGACGGAGGGGTGAAAAAAAATTAGTTTCTCAGGGAAAAAAAAAAAAAGTAGGCCATGAAAATAATCTATATTCGTCTTTGCTAGCAGTGAATCTGACATTCAATATTTGTCAGCACATTAAGTAAACAGCAGTAAGTGCATATTGCACAATGTCAATTAGGAGATGTATATTTTATAAGCTACTTTGATTCTGTCCATGTAATTAGCAGACTTGTAGTGGCCACTTACTTTAATAGGATTAGAAAGGCTGCAGGTTCCACATCTGGTATATGGATTTCAGATTTGACCTCTGCGAGATCGCCATAAAACATAGCGTAGAAGACAGAGCTACCAACTGCCAAAACATACTGGAAAATAAAGAGAGAGAAGCCTCAGTAAAATGGATCAGGAACAGCTGAGCGTGCTGGCTTTCCTAAAAGCTACATTTAGCGAAAGTTACAAGCTGCAGTGGAAGCAGAACACTGCCTTAGACTGCTCCCTTTAATTGCAGTGTATGTGAATTACTTCTGGGATTAGACAAGAGCTATAATTAGGGAAAAAAAAAAAAAGTGGAACCTAGTTGTAAGGCACGGGGAAAAAGGCGACCTGTACAGCAGCATTTAAAAAGCCAAAAATTATCTGCACAAACCTTATGGGCAGGAACTTTCTTGGATGCCCCTGGCGGGCCCACGATGAAGTGAACGTCAGCCATGAGTTCGTTATTGAACATCAGCGCGTTCCTGCAAGCAGGGGAGGGGGGAGAAGCCCGGTTAGCCGCGGGCTGCCCCTCGCCCGGTGCCCCAGCCTCCCGCCGGCGGCCCCCGGGGCTCCAGCCCAGCCCCGCGCTCACGCCTGGCCGGGGCGCAGGTGCACGGGGCGGGCGCCTCTCTCTCTCCCGCCCGCCCGGGGAGGGTCCGGCGGGCCTGGCCCTTACCTCTCCCGCAGCGTGGGATGGAAGGATTGCCAGTTGGCGCTCTCCAAGTTGTTGTTGTTGAGGTTTTGGAGCTGGGGCGGCGGGGGCGGCTGGGCGCTCTGCTGGAGCTGCAGGGCGTTCTTCTTGCTGTTGGCAGCGGTGGCGGCGGCGGCGTTGCTGTTTGCAATGTTAGTGTTGGTGCTGGCAGGGTAAAGTTCTGCAGCCATCTTCTTCTTCAGGGACAGGGGCACTATCTCATAGCATCCTGGCACCTTGCCGTTTGACCTCACACTCTTTTTGGACTTCTTTAAGGTCTCTGGAAGCAGAAGAAAAAAAGTCAAACACTTCATGATCCTGCCATTGAGGCAACCAGGGGGCAGTGGCATGAGCAAGAGAACTAACAGATCCCAAATGCGAGTCCCACTATCAGGATATTTTGTACGCTTCTAGATGCAGGGTGGCCTTTGGTTTTTTTGGAGTGTGTGCCCGCTCTTTGGTTACCGGCCCGACGCACCTTTCCGGGGGGAAAGGGGTGATGCTGTGTCGGATCAGTGCCAGCGCTCACCTTGGCTTGTGGGGGGGTCCCAGCCTCCACGGCACTGCCACGACTGCAGCGGGGAGCCCGAGCGGGGCCGGCAAGCAGTTCCTTCCCCAAAGAACGGGGAGAGAAAAATTAAAAAAGGAAAAAAAAAAAAAAGGAGAAACCAAAAAAAAAAAAAAAAAAAAAAAGAGAAACCAAAAAGAAAAAAAAAAAAAAAAGAAGCCAAAATCCAGCAACAAAACCCCAGGAATCCGGCAGAGGCGGTGGGTCAGGAGCGAGAGTCAATCCACAAATCCTCCGAGTGCAGCAGCCCGGCGAGGGTGAAGCGCAGCCAGCCGCCCGATCCCCGCTGCCAGTGCTCCGCTCCGTCCTTCCCGGCCCGGCGGGGGCACATCCGCGGCGGCCGGGCCGAGCCGAGGCGGCGGCTCCCTGCAGTCCCGCTCCCGGGCGGCCCCGCCGCCGCTCGCACCAACTTTGCTCCGGTCCCCGCGGCGGCCGCCGCCGTTGCTGTTGCTGCTCCTCCGCGCTCCTCCCGCCCGCGCCAGGGGCGCTGCTGCCCGCGGGGCGCCCCGGCTCCTCCGCGGCGGGCGGGAGGGATGCGGCGCTGCCCTGGGCGCTCCCTTGGCGGTGGGATGCAGCGCTGCGCGGCCGGGCTCGGCGCGGCTCTGCCGGGCCCTGCCTCCGCCTCCCGCACTAAGAGGCAGCGGCCGCGCCGCGCGTCACGGCCGTCCGCGCCAATGGCGAGCGCCGGGGCGCGGCGGGGAGAGGGCCGCCCCCCGCCCGCCCGTCATCCGCCCCCCCGCGCCTACGTGCGCAGCGCCGGGCGCCCGCCGGGAGCGAGCCCCGCGGTCCCCCACGATCGGTCCCCCTGCACCGCTCGGTGTCCCCGCTCCGGCCGCAGCGGGACAGGCGCGGAGGAACGCGGGGCAGCGCGGGGGGACCGCGGCGGGGCGGAGGGGGCGGCCCCGAGCGCTCAGCGCCGTTCCCGGGCGGCCCGGGCGGGGGCGCCGCCGCTCCGCGCTGCGCTGGGCGGGGGAGCCGCGCTGCCCCCCGGGGCCGCCGCCCGGGGCGCGGGGGCACGGCCGCGGAGGGACTGCTCCCGACGAGGGACGCTGCTGGGGTTCCTCCCCTTTCCCCGCAGCCGCCGTGCCCTCCCGGGCCGTCCCGCCCGTCCTCCGGGATTGTGTGGCGAGAACTGTCCCCCCCGCTGTGCTCGTTCCTGCGGCGGGGATCGGCGCTCGCTTCGCTGCGGGTCCTGCCGCTTTCGGTGGGGAGCACTCTTTGGAGCACAACTCGAAATTGTTCTTACATCCCTCTTAGTGACTGTGTCATCAAAGTTCTTCCAAAAGTCCAAGTTCCGAATCAGAATTGGGATCAGGAGAGAAGGGAAAGTCTTCAGCAGAACACATGTTCCTTTCTTAAAACATGAAATAATGTTTTTATTGTGATCTGCTTCGTGGCCCCCAGCATCCCCTTTGAGGAAAACCAACTTGCTCGCGTGTGTGGAGTTGCAGCCCCGGGGGTCACCCAAAGTCAAAGGGGACCCTCCTGCTTGCAGGTGCACCCGTGCTGGTTTGGTGCCCCTGGAACGAAGCAATATGTTTGGGGTTTGCAGCTTCTAACAGTTCTTATTTATTTATTTTCAAATGTTTGCGTCCATGCAGGACCTGTATATGCTAACCTGCGCTTAGCCTCTGATTTATATATTCACTGTCCTACTTTTTTTTGGTTTCTTTAAGGCTTGCTATTTAAAACCCACCCACGTATTCATTTTCTGACTGTTTGGTAGCTTCAGAATTCAAATTAACGATGTGCAATGTTTTGTCAAATGACCTGTGGGCATGAATGCCAGCACAAATGTCTGAATAGCTACAATGCAAATGTGTAAACGCTCCTGAAATTCAGCTCTGAAACTCAGCTCCAGAGAGAGAGCTGAAAGTTGCTTCTCCAAATCTGGTGAGGTATGTGGTGAAGAGAATTGTGGTAATTCTGTTCCAATTGGTAGTATTATTAAACTGGCCAAAGTTTGGTCCTGTGAAATTTGACTCCGTATAAATAATGGATTGATTGAGGAGTGATAACTGAAAAGGGGGTTTTCCTAAAGGCGAACGTATTTGTTTGCATTGTGTACTACTATTATTAATTCAGTCCAGTTTCTAGAGGGTACCACTAAAAATGGTAAGTGTAATTGTTGTACCTCTTCAAAGTGAACTATTAAAGGTTACTTGGTTTGTGCTAAAACAAATAACAGGGTTACAAAGAAAATTGCCAAGGGAGGGAAGTCTTGGGCTGTACATCCCTTCCAAAGATGCCAGGTGGATTTTACCAAAATACCCTGAGTGGCAAGATTTAAATATCTTCTGGTAATAGTATGTCAGCTAACAGGGTGCCCAGAAGCATTTCCAACTGTTTCAGCAACTACAGGATTAGTTATTAAAGCATTTTTGGAACAAATAATTCCAAGATATAGGATTGTGGAAGCAATAGATTCTGCTAAAGGAACTCATTTTACAGGAAAGATCCTTCAAGGGCTTATGACTGCTTTAGGGATACAATGGAACCTCCATATCCCCTGGCACCCCCAGAGCTTGGGCTGGGTTGAAAGAATAAATGGAGAAATAAAGAAACACCTTTTGAAGCTGGTGATAGATACTAAGATGCCATGGGTACGGCTCTTGCCACTGGCTTTGGCAAGAATAAGGGCCAGACCCAGAGGAGATACTCAGTTATCTCCCTTTGAACTGATGCTGGAATTCCTTACCTTTGTAATTCTCATCCTAGTGGGGGGATGGAAATAAATGATGAATATTTAAAACATTATGTGGCCAGGGTGGTGTCTGCTCTGTTCTGGCGGCTGCAGGAGCTGAAGCTGGGCACTCTGGATAAGAAGAGATGGAAAAGCAAACCAGGCATTGCTACATGTTCCTTTAGTACCAAGAGCAAAGTTTAAATGCATGTTGAAACCCAGTCTATGGCTTCTAAAAGGTTGGGGTTTTTGTTGTTGAATTTGGCATATGTAATTTCTCTGGAATAGAGCTTCATAAAGTCATACTTGGAAGTGCAGAACACCTGTCCTTAGAATCATGGGGATTGATAAAGTTCTCCTAAACCTTTGGTTTTTCGAGTCATGTTTGGATCCTGCTTGCAGCCTGGAATTTCTCCAGTTTTGAGGGAATTTGAGGTTGGAAGTTCTTGCTTTATAAGTGCTTTCATTTAAATGCTTCTGCAGGGCTGACAGGCATTATCACCTATGGTGTGATCTTGGTAATTATGGATAGCAACAGGGCATCATTGTTAGAACTTGGTGCTAAATGAAACTGCTTTGATTAGTTGTAAGATTTTTACAGTATTTTGAGCTGAATTTTCATCTTTATCGGTTTAAGTGCCCACGTAGGGGATCAGCAGAGGAAATTGAGTTGAGACTAATAGTTAACAATTTACCGTACATCATGGATTTTCGGTCAAGTGATAAAAGGCTGGCAGGAAATGAGAAATTGATATCTCAACTCAGAGTAAACATGTGTTAAGTGTAGCTTTTACAAGATTGTTTGATAAATTATAAATTGGTTTAGGCAGAGCACAATCTGTACTGACATATTTTGGTTAGTTTGAAGCTGTTAACACCAACGCTTGAAATAAGTTTATACATCTGGAGGCAGATCTGTGGCCGATGTAAATTGTCATAGTGCTAATGATGTTAATTGGGTTCCACTTTATGCTGATGGAAGTCTGCCTTAGTGTCTGTAATAAACAGTGTTTTGTATTCTTGGAATGTGAGTCTGAGAAGCAGCTGGAATTATCTTGGAAGGTAACGAGATTTTTGTTAGGGAGGATTTTAAGCAAATGAATTTATTTTCAAGCGTAGTTGGTAGTTAGCTTTGAGATGAAACATACAAGTTACCTTGTTACTTTCTGAGAGATGTTGGAAGAGAGATGTTAGATGTTTTGGGCCTAAATCGTGTCCTCATTCTGCAAAAGCTTTTGTAAATGCTTCACTTTGGGCATGATTTCCTTGATACCAGTGACACTGCTCACATGTCACAGTCAGCGTGTGCAGCCTTGGATGCTGAAAAGCGTGTAGGAATGTTTGTGCAGTGCTTTAAAGAGCTCCTGTCTAGAGAGAAAGAAATTATTTTGTTTTAGGTTACCTAAAAAAGTGCTTTTAAAGCTCAGTGGCAGAGGAGCACAGTCTGTGTTTGCTGAGGTGAAGCCAGACAAGCTCAGCAGCCTCGCTGCGCTGCATTTCCTAAATCGATGTTAGGGTTAGGCATAACTGTGTTCCTTTCTGTTGCAGATCCGTGTTTGTACATTCCCCGTTTTGCACACATGCTGGAGTTCGGGGATAAGAACCACGAGGTGTCCATGACGGCTCTGAGGCTGCTGCAGAGGATGAAGAGGGACTGGATGCACACCGGGCGCCGGCCCTCGGGGCTCTGCGGGGCAGGTACGGCAGAGCCTGGACCAAATGAGCCCTTCCCCTTCTCATGGGTGATATCCACCTGCTAGGGGTTTTGTTCTGTCAGGCATCTGCAGATTATATAGGTCTTCATTGAAATAGTTTCTGAAACTATAACTTCATTTTTGCCCTTGCTCCTACAGTGCTTGCTCAGACCCTTTGTAGCTTATGGTTTGAATTTTTTTTAAGCTCCTTTCTGGTGCTTTTCTTGCCCCCACTCTGCAGGCTCTAGCTGCTAAAAGGTTTTTTTTTTGTCAGCTAAAATGACACCATTAGTACAAGCACTTTGATTTGTGTCTTTACAGAGTCTTATGCAAGAAGTGCCCTCTTTGACCTGTTTTGTGAAACTATTTTTCTCTCTTTCTTCATCTTTTTCCAAGATCCATCACTGTCATGGTGCTTGCATAAAACCTATGGGTTTGGGAGGGCCAGGTTAAAAGATAGTAGCCAGTGGGGTCAGAGTAATGAAGAGTGTAGGTAGTCACAGAGTTCATGTATGTGCATTATTTTATTTGAAAGATCTTACATGTTTATGCATGAATGAGAGATAATGCTCAAACTTTGAGAACCCAGGACTATGCAAAATTTTTTTTGACATTTCTAGCCCTTTTTTGTTAACAGAACTTGATTGTTGCACATTGCTAAAAATTTGAATATAGGCTATGGGAGAGCAGTCTACTCTTTGATGGGCTATATCCACACGAGCAAGGAATTTAATTCAACAGACATGGATCAATAGATGGAAGCAGGTGGTGCTGAGCCCCTTCCATCACTCCATGCAATATGCAGCTCACGTGTTGGACTGTGGACTGGGTTTAGTGGACTGGGTTTAGTTTGGTTTCCCTGGCTTAAAAGTCTGTGCCACACGTAGCTCAAATGGCCAATTGTTAGTTCAGCCCTGGTGTTCCTGTTAGGAGCACTTTAAACACATACCAGAAGTGGAGCTCTGGTTTAGTTTCCTCTATTAAAAATCACTTTTTTGTGCTTAAAACTGCTCTGTTCAGTGAGCTACTGTATGATGAGTGAGGGTGGTGCTTCAAAACAGAGCTGGTGCTCTAAATCAAGACACCATGTAAATGCAACTGGTTATGTGGCTGTGTAAAGGGTCTTGCAGGAGAGCACTTGGGCACCAGCAAGACAGAGATAGTAGTGGCAGCAATGAGGAGACCAGCTTAGGCACATTCAGTGTTTCTCTGGAGATCTTTTTATTCAGGACAGAATTCAGTGAGTCCTGCTAAAAAGATGGTAACTGAAAATCATTGAAATATTCTTGTGCTGCAGATAACCATGATTTCCCAAATGTTAAAGCACAGAATTTTTCAGGGTGCAACTTGCACTCTGCTTAGTGGATGGAAAGCAAAGTTTGTGTCAGGTCCATCACCAGTATTCAGGGACACAGCTGAGCATAGGCATTTACAGCTCTTTAGCTGAAGGCAGGGACAAAGACATGGTATAGTTACTTGACTTTTCTGCTTTTCTTCAGGAAATTTCCTTCTTTCTGATATTAACTTTCTCTGCTTGTTCTCTAGCTCTGCTAGTGGCAGCAAGAATGCATGATTTCCGACGGACTGTTAAAGAGGTCATCAGGGTGGTGAAGGTTTGTGAGTCTACATTAAGGAAAAGGTCAGTGCAGTCTTACTGCTTTTATCTTTGGTTTACAGTACTGAGCAGTGATATAGTCTAAAATAAATGTATATTGGAGAAAACCAGGTTATTTTTGTTAAAGTGCCATGAATCAAATAAGTATTTGTTTTAGCTGGTCATTTTAAAGTATTAACACCTTATGTAAGGCCTCAAATGCTCAGCAAAGATAGTAAGGAGCACTGTGCCTATTTAACAGGTGAAGACTTGGAGGCAAAATAATGCTATGTCAGTAATATTAACAGTATTGTCATGTCCTCAGAAAAAGTAATTTATTGATTCTCAAAGCTGACAGTCTACTGTGAGATTTTTTTTTCATTAATCCAGAAGCCAAGTGATGAAAAGTCTTGTCTTTAAGCTGTTATTGAACAGAACTTTTCAAAATATTTTGCTGAAGTGTTCATTTTTGGTAGTGTTGCACTGCTAATAAATAGAAGACAGCACAGTGAATCTAATGCTAAGTTCAGTGAAGGATCCTCTGAAAGTGGGAATTTTCCAAGTACCTTTTGTGTGTTTGTTTTTTAAAAGATCACTACTTAGTGTTTTCCATAGTTTAATGATGCAAGCAGATACCCAGTTTCAGTCATTTTACTTTTGAAAAGTTGTAACATACTCTTTGCCCATAGGTTGAGTTAAAAATGACCTAACTGAAATGCCATGATTTCTGTTGCCCACAGCTGGAAATTCTTCTATCACCAATATATTCTGATGTTTGTTCCCCCAAAGTCTGTCTTCAGAAAGCTTGCTTAATGTCTCTCTTCACCTTGCTGGGATCAGCTTAAGCACATCCAACTGAGCCTAATATTTGTTACAAATATTCACTTATTAAATGTGAAAAATGTTTTTCTCCCAGGTCTTCACTGGTGGAACAGGAATTATGCTATTTTCCAGCTATGCATGGGTGGTTTAGGGATAAATTTAAAGTCTTTTAAATGCTTCAAGGTACTATAGCTATAAGGATGGAGCAGTACCAATGCCACCTTTTTTCCTCTGGCCAAAAGGTCATGTGTTTCAGTCGTGCATTTTGTATGATTAATGAGTTATGCACCACAATTTACTCCAAGATGCTTTGGTTAAATAGCTAAAGAGTTTGTACTTACTAAGAAAATAAGCATAATAAATTAGAGTTGGAGGGGAAATTAATTTGAGCAATTGTTTCAAGCGAGAAAATCTTACTTCAAAATTCATGCTTTGAAATGTTTACTCAAGTCACACACATCAACTAAAATGACAGCCTTATTTACTTTGACAGGGTAAACGTGACAGCTGAATTATTTTCAGGCAGCTATAATTACAACTATTTATCACGAATCTATAAATTTGATTGATGTTTTTCAAATAAGAGCACGTTATATAGTATTTAACGAAGGCAAATAAAAAAAATACCTTTGAATAACTCTTTCTGCACTCTAGCTTTTTTCCTCTTCTTTCAAGAATTCCTTTCAAAATGCCATCAAATAGAATTTATCTAAATGAATAAGAACTTATTTCACATTCTTAAAAATTCCTTTGCTTCTCAGTTTGATGTGCAGTTTTATTTCCTTTTAATTATAGTTACTCTGGTTGGTAAAGAGTAGCTGCTGCTGTGTTTTATGAAGGTGTTGGATGCTGTGCTCACTGCTGATGGCTTTGCCCTGACAGCTCCAGAAGTGAAACCCAACATGAGTCCAGATAATGCTGGCACTTCCAGGCTGCAGGCTCTGCTGCGTGGTTTGATTTAGCTCCCAGCTGGCTTCCTGGGGAAGCACAGGCCATTGGAAGCTGGGTTTGCTTTGGTGCCCGTGGCAGAAATCTGCAAGGGAAGGTCCCACATGATGTGTGTTTGCCTGGGAGGGACAGGAATGTGTGGATGAGGATGCAGGAATGATGCTCTTTAAGAAATCCTGATTGGGAATTCCTAGGAATGTTTGGGGAAGACCCTCAGCAAGAAGTGGCAGCCCTTCCCTGAGAAGGGCACTATTCTGGTGGGTCTGGATTAGTTCACCCTGTTGTCACCAGCTGGAGAGCACCAAGCCTGCCTGCCTGGAGGCTCTGTCCTCTTCCACTGCTCTGAGCTGGAGGAGTAGCTCTGGAGGAGCTTCACCAAAATGTGAAGTATCTCCAGATCATAAAAATTCATGACCTGATCATGAGGGGAATCTGTTTTGGAAGGAAAAAGTGACAAATCATGGCCCATGTGTGCTGTCACTCATCTTCCAACCAAGAGCTCTTAATTTTGGCATCGGTTTGGTTAAAAAGCAGTGCTTGTTTATTTTTAATGTGAGTGGGTTTTTGGTAATATTGGTAGAGAAGACTTTGTAGTCACTTTTCAGGGCCTTCTAGCTTTATGTTTTGAAGCACACAATTAAAATGTAAAGCTTGTTACTGTTGTTGAAAGCGAACTTATTAAATATTAATAAATGCACTGATAATTCTATCTCATTTCCAGTCTAATTGAAATTATATTAACTTATATATCACTTTATATATTCAAAGTACTGTACAAATATTAGCTAATTAGTCAAATTGTTATTTTCTATGTAATCATCCGTGGAGGTAGCAGAAATTAACTTTTAATAAACCCAGTCCTTCTATTTAGTTCAGTCCTCACATTTGTACCTGTGTTCAGTGCACCTGTCTTCACCTCTGTCTTTTTAACCTTTAAATACCTTCATCTTTTTATTCACCTCTTGCATGCTTTCTCTGTGTTCTACATTTTGTGTTATCTTCAGTAAGAATAATTCTTGTGATACTTGTCCATTGTGCATTATCTAATACTGTGCAGTCCTTATGCCTGTTTGAAGATTTTAGGCACTTCTTCCATAGAATTAAAAAAAAAAAAAAAATCAGCTTATCTTTCTTAACATTTGCATTTTGCTGCTTTGACTTGCTCACTTTATCTTTAAATTGAACTGGTTTTTGCATAAAAAATACTTCTTCTCAGTTCCATAAAGTACTATCTGCCAAAAAACTTATTTGTGATGAACTTCAGAAGCAGCAAAGCTTCATTTAGAAGAAATTGGAACGAAAGGCCGGAATGGGTTTAAATCACTTGTTTTTGGGGTGAATGTTTTTTTTTCACAACCTCATAGTGTTTTGGGAAGGAAGACAAGACTTGTTATGAAGGAGCTTCATTTACCAGTTGTAGATGCTGCAGGGACTTTCATAAATGGGGTCCTTTGCTTATATCCTGGGGACCTTGTTACAGCTCTTTCAATGACTGAGGTGATACTTTTCTAGAAAAATTAATGATTTATGCATAGAGATAAATGTCCTGAATGCACTGCCTACAGTTTTTTTGGTTTTTTTTCTAAATTTCTGTAATATGTGGCTGGCATAAACCTTGTGTCTGTCTCAAGCTGGACAGACGCCTTAGAGAGCAGGCAAAGAGAGGAGCCATACATGAGTCAGGGTGAGAAGGGAAGGTAACAGGGACATGGGTAGCTGTGAGGTTGTTGTTCAAAACACTAAAGCCCTGTCAAGGCCAGGACTGAAGGGAAAGGTTATGTAGGAGTCAGTGTTGGGCTGTCATCCAAGTACAGCCATGCTAAAATTCTGTGGAGGGTATCCAGTGAATCAGGGAGAGCTGGCCACCTGAGGGGTTTGAGCATGGAGGGGCTGAGGATGCTCAGAATGTCAGAGTTTCTTGTAAGGGCTCTTGCTTGAAGTGTGATGTGGAGAGAAGCGTTTAGAACGCCAGGAAATTTATTTCATGTAAAAGACCTGGTGGTGGTGTCTGCTCTGATCTCAGCTCAGCAGCTGAGCAGCTCCTTTGCTGGCTGCCATAAGCTAAATTGAGAAATGTCTCATGTCTCCAGTTCAATCAATTCAAGTGGCTTACAGATGATTTCAGAAACCTTTCTAGTATGGTGAGTAAAATACAACTTGATCCATGTGGGCTGATATTGCATACCTTTGTAAGTTGGATGGTCTGGTTTAATAAAAAAAAGGTTTTATTTCTGAGGAATTCAATTTCACAGGCAATGTTCCTTTTTATAAATCCAGCTTCTATACAGTAGCAAGCTAATACATTAATTAGATTCCTAATATATTTTAGTACGTCAAACTTAAAGATATAATTTCAAAATTATTTGGTGACTCTTACTTTTGAAACAATCAGTAACTTGTTTGCACTAACTGAGGCTTAGATCTTGTAAATAGTTTTCCTATGTTTGATTTATCTCATCTGAGTGGCTGTTGAGAAATTAAGCAGCCCTATTTTTCTTTTCCAGGAGATCATAGAATGCTTTTGACAGACCACAGCAGAGAAACCATGCTAATGAAGCAGAATTTTAAGGAATGCTAAGACATTTTGTTTCATTAGAATGGTGTGAGCATTTCAATCAGAGGGGAGAAAAGAGGAAAAATTTTCAGGTGGTTTAGACTGACAGAATTCTGGAATGGCCAGGGAGGTGCTGGTGGGATTATCCAGGTGCTGATAGTAGATCACAAGTCTTAATGCAAGTTAACTCTGTGTGTAATCATTTGTGGAATGAGGGCTTTAAAATTTATGCTAATGAATTTGTGACAGTTTCAAATCTCTGTTGATGTGAGCAAGTAACAGCAACGAATTCTAAAGGGTGCTTTATGTAGTACAATCTTTACAGGTACCTGTTCTTAATACTTAGAGAAACATCAGAGAGTTGCCAGCAAATGAGCCCCATAAATTATCAGTGACCTATTCATTGGAAGTAAATGACTGTGTGCATGCTCTTAGTCCATTGCAAAAAGAGGTGATGTGTATTAATGTTGGAAGTTGTGTAAAGGGAGAATATTTCTCTTTAACAGTTGCATTTGGCCGGGAACAGACAGAATAATTTAGCACAGCTCAGGTGATAAGCTTGTAAGTTGTAAAACCACAGCAACTGGATCACCTCTGATTTTGTCCTTACCTTTGGTAATGAGATACTCATTTATACAGGCTTAAAAATTCCTTTTATATTACTGCAAATACATGTAAAATTATATATATGTACAATGTTTACATATCAGATTACTCTTCTATTTATTTACTTACTGGTGGCTGCTGGAGAACTCTTTGTTATGTCATGTAGGAAGCATTTAATAGCTATTTTAGATATATGTTCTATATTAAGTATCGCTTTTAGTGTATGTGTTTACATACTTCCATAAATAGTTCATGTGTAAACATTGTATGGCTTGGAAAAAAATAAGGAGAGAAGGATGATGCAATAGACTGTTAGATTTGTAGTATAGAAATAGTGATGATTTGAACACCAGTGTGAATTCTGAGCTTCTCTGCTGTGAGTGCGCAGGTTTGGAGTGGCAGGAAGCACTGATGAAGGTTAAATTAAAACAGTAGGGATGTTCTGCAATACTCTGGTTCTTCACTAAGACACTAAAGTATATCCCTTACTTTTCCAGAGTCTGGAATTGTCTGAGGTGTCAGATCAGCTGATCTATTGCTAGAATGTTTGTAGTTGGTACGACAGTTAAGATTATGTAGATATCATGGAAGTTATTACTTATGGTTTTAATTATATTGTTAATTTGGGAAAACTCAGGGGAGTTTAGTTGCTAGCACCAGTTTATCTTGCAATAAAGGTTCTTTCTCGTATATTTCTGCTAACAGTGTGGCAAATTCAGTTTATTATTTTTCTAATCCATTGATAAAATACTTTAAGTACATTAAAAAGACCTCTCATAGCAGGTAGCTTAAAGGCTGATGGCTCAGGCTAAACCCCACATTCCCTCTTTAACAAAACAACTCTCTCTGCTGTTGTAATTTGTTTGCCTTCTGTATGGAGATACCTCTGCTCGTGCTGCATGCTTTCTAGAGCTCGATGCTGATTGTGTGTAGGCAGAAGGACACCGTGGCTGTTCCTGAATGGTCTCTGCTTAGAAGTCCCTCTTGGGCTTTGAACTTGGGCTCCTGAAGGATTTGTGAGTTGGAGTCCAGAAGTCCTTGTTCTTTTGTGTTCTTTGTTGCACCCCACTGCTGCAGAATCTCAATTAAACACCAAGCCCGAGCCCTTTGCTGCACACACGAGTCTGTTTTCTCTGTCACTGCAGACTGGATTCAGGAGTCTCCACTGGAGGGTATCCCTGGAACAGAACAAAGTAAAAGGGATATTGCTTTTAACTTCAAAACGATTGACCCATTTTCCCATACTGGGAGTTAAATTAAGTGTGAATAGAATCGGTTTACTGGTTTGTGCACAAAAGTGCTTTATCAGAAGCAGAGGTGTGGTTTTGTCTGTAAATGGATGAAACAACAACTGTGGAAATTTTTCTTTTTAAAAATGGTTGGGGTTAGAGGCAGATGACACCAGGCTGTGGAAAAACTTTTCTCCCAAAGGAATTTTATTGAAAGAGTTTGCTGTGAGAAACTGTAAGAGGACGGTTTATACTGGAAGTTGAATCTTAGCCTGAGCTTTAGTGGTTGCCTCTGCTTTGACTATAAATAGAAAATCCTTGTCTGCCAAATTTCAATTTTTAAAGCCTTTTTGAATTTATGCCAAGGAAATAATATTTTAATTTGTATATCTGTTTATTTTCCCTCTGTCTGTGCATAACTTAGAGTGGCAACTCTTATTGGATTTTTTTTTTAGGTTAGCAAAAGTGAAAAATGAACTTGGATAACTTTTTTATGTGGGACTTAAAAAATAGCCTGTAGCTATTTTTTTTTTTTTCATGAAGCCACTCCCTTGCCCCTGAAATTATTGTGTTTATAATTAAGGTTGTGTCAGTTTTTCTTAACTGCCAAACTAATGTTGCTTTGTTTCATGTGGTGCAGACTGCTGCAGCATCAGTTTGTTGCCTTGGTGGCATGTGTCCAAACAGTGGATAAAATTAAAGAATGTTTAAAAATATGTAGACAGGATATCAGCCAATGTAAAATGTTGAGGCAGGCAAATGGTTGACAAACACAGGTATTTATTTATATCAAGTTAAAGGAGAAAATGTTGAGTGCGCAGCTCGCTCTCCCACTGAGATGATGCTCAAGCTGGGATCCTGACCATCAGGGATGGTTCCTCATTTTAGGAGAAGGGTTAGAGCCTTGGGGGCAGGACTTGAGAGAAGTGAAAAAATAACATTCTGCTCTAAATTCGCATCACCACCAGCCTGTGCTTAAACTGTGATGCTGGCAGCCCTCCCCCTGGGGTGGTCTTGGATCCCCCTGCTTGGCTTGGATCAGGGCTGAGGAAAGGAGGGAGGGCAGGGGCATGGGACTGGTGGCCTGGTCAGATGGTTGAACTGTGCTGTGCTGAGTTTGAGCTCCTTGGCAGTAAACATGATGTAGCTCTGCCTTGTCCTAGTGCAGCCACACTGAAGGTGTTGGGAGAGACCCATCCTGCCTTGTGGTGGGAGCTGGGGCTTGGGCTGGAGCTCGTGCTAGCTCACCCCAGGGCTGACATCTGATGGGTGCAGGGTACGTGACCTGAGTCAGGTGACACTGTGGGCAGGAGAGGGACAGACAGAGCCTGAGCTGTCTGCAGGGCTTAGGTGCTGACACCAGGCATGGTCATCTTGTCCCCAGCATGGCTTCATGCATTTTGCTCCTGGTGTTTTCCTGGCTGCTCAGCATGCCCAGAGGTGGTGCTGCTTTGGTGGGGCCCTGGCAGCTCATCTCAGACTCAGAGCAAGCTCTGGATAAATAAACTGTGTGTTTTTGCCAAAGTGCACCTTGGCTTTTAACACTGGGAGGAGAGTAATATTTCAATAAGGTGAGGCTGGCTGGGAGGAAGAGTCTTGCTGAAGTGGGGCTGCCTGTGAGTACATGGTTCATTCGTGGAGAGACGGATGGCTGTTCTTTAATTATTGTGACTGGGAAGAGCCATGCTCCTCAAATGATACATGGGTTTGGCTTTAAGTGAAAGCTAAATTTAAATAATAATAATAATAATAATAGTGCCCTAGCCAGGTTTTCCCTCTAACCTGATAGATGTGGCTCCCTCCTGGAAGGTGGGTAACGCATGCTGGAAGCCCGTTAGCGCCAAGAAAGATTTCTAGTCTTTTAATTAAAAGCTGGGTGCTGCTGCTGCCAACAGCATCCTCCTCTCCTTTCCAATTTGATCTGAAAGAGAGGAGGAGGGAGCTGGTCCCTGGTACTCTGAGGGAAGGGTTTGGGCTGTCAGTCACTCTTAAGTACATCGCTAATTTGGGGCTTTGTGGAGATGCTTGAATTCCAAAAGCAAGTCTAGTTTTCAGAGGCTTTCTTCTCCTCAGCAGCAGTAACTCTGGCATAGCCATGCATGGGCTTAGTGTGCTGCTTGCTTTGGAGCCACAGAGAGGTGCCTGGCTCTCTCTGTGCATTTCATGGCATGAGATGCTGCTTCTCTCCTCTGGCCCCTGCTGCAGGAGTGGGATGTTTCCAGGCAAAGTGTCCTGCAGTTGCAGCCTGCCTACACTCCTCCTTATGGGCTGTCTTTTCTTGCTCCTCAGTTTGTAAAGGAAGAAACACAGAGATTGATGAGGATATAGTAGGAGAGTGTGGCCCTGTGCTTCTGGCTTTGACCCTGGTGTTGGCTAGAAACTGAATTTCTGTCCTAGAGAAAATTCCCTCTTCAGAGAAAAACTTTTATTGCAACCAGAGGTAGAGGAGAGAACTGAGGAGAAAACCACAACTGTTTTTAGGGGGAGAGAAATGCAGAAAGGTCCTGTGCTGAGAGCACTGAATCACCATTTTTAGTTCCCTAGCTTTGCAGATGGAAGCTGTTGTCAGCTCTGCTTCCTCTGAAAGATGGGAATATTCCAGTGAAGCAGCTGCAGACCCATCATTGCCATTTTCCCATGGAAAATGTTGATATTATTAAAAGGGCACTTTCTGTCAGAGAAGCATTCTGCCAGACGTTTCCTGACCTGGCTTTGTACTTAACCTTTTGTCTCATTTTCTCCATCTGTAAAATGGATGTGCTTATTCTCAGCCACCTGTATAAAATGCTGGTATTTGTGGATTAAGTTATGACCACGTGGTCTTATTTAAGATTGAATTCCTGTGAAAGACTCATCTGCTTTCATGGCAATTCCCCATGGAGCCAGTCTGATCTCTCACACAGGTAGGAACTTTAAAAATGCAAACATTAAACAATTCCAAAATTTATTATTGTCAAATTACGTTCATCCATCTATTTAATCTGTGTGATGTGCAAATGATCAATTTATTTTACCACTGCTTCTGTGTGTCCTGGGAAGATTATTTCTCGTCCCTCTTCCAGCCTGCTGAAGAGATGTTACTTTGAAGAGATGCTTTGTGTAAATTAATCATGATGACATATCAGCAAGATTTTTGAGCAAACTCCTAAACCAGGATGGCAGATATTTTATTTGGTGAATCCGTTTTGTTGTTGCTGTTGATAACAAAAGCAAGGAGAGGGGAGGAATGAGTGTTTCTTGTCTTAGTTTTGTCCATACTTAATTGACTGTAGGGGCTGCAGTATTTCTGTTTAGTCTTCGTTCATCAAAAAAAAAGTATGTTACATACTCTAATAAATCAAAAGCTAATTTGGGATATGAAAAGATACTTTCTTTGCAGCAGATGAAACAATTAGTAGCAGTTAAGTTTTAGTGTAGTCTGTGTTTGAGCCAGAGCTGCTAAGGATGGCATGTTTATTCCACAGCTTGGCAGTTTGCACATTTTGTTACTTTCAAAGGAGTTCTTATGGATGTTTTGGTCATGTGCTGTTTGCTTTGGTAGGTTGACAGAGTTTCAAGATACACCAACCAGTCAGCTGACCATAGATGAGTTTATGAAGATTGACTTGGAAGAAGAATGTGATCCTCCTTCGTTTACAGCTGGCCAAAAAAAATTGAAGATACAGCAGGTAAATTCTGAATTGGATGCTCTCTGTGGTTCTTTCCTCTCTCCTCCCTCTGTGTGTTCCCTTTTGAATTTAGTTAATGCTAAATCCTAACTGACCAGCCCTTAGTAAGATTTAGTACATTTATTTTGAGGTTCTTGAGAGAGGGATGAGCATTAGTGCATATGGTACCCATTAACTAAAGATATTTTTTGGTTTATTGGCAAAGGAATAGCTTCCCAATTAAAAATTTCATGGGATTAGAAACCATGCACTGTTTTTAAGGTGATACCTGTGGTTAGGAGAAGTGCCATTACAGGGAACTTTTTAAAAATAGATATGAAAACAATAACCCATTTACTTTAATGGGACTGCTGGTGGTTTTGTGTGGTACAACACCCACTTCCACAGAGATTAGTTCTCATGTGGCTTAATTGTTTTACAAATCATGAACTAAAGCTGGCAGCAGAGGAGAAGATTTTACTGCTGTCATAGTCAATTCTTATATTATTGGTTTGTTAGGGTTTTTGCTTGCTGTAACTGTGCTATCATTTAAGGGTCTGTAGGGGTGTTAGTGATGTTCTCAAGAGCCAGCCAGGTGCTGTAGGTCAGAGCTTCACTCTGCCATCACCAATGTGCTCTGTCTGGTGTGGGCACTCCAGTCTCAGCACTGTCCTTGCACTTCTCACATCTACAGGCACAGTCACAGGATCTGACTGCTGGAGAATGCGGCCTTTATTTACAGCTTGCCAGACTGGAGGCTCTTTTTGAAGTATAAAAATGGGGAAGATTACATTTTTAAATTGGTCAAGTGTTTTGAGACCTGTCTGTCATGCCTGTCTGACATTACAAAGTAATTTTAGTGGTGATTCAAAACCTGCTTATGCTTTTGAAATACCCAGTTGTTCTCTGTCTCTATGTACAGCTCACAGTTTACAATTGTGCGTATTTTTTTAGTAATTTCATGTTTATTTTGTCTATTGTCATTTCAGCTTGAAAAGGCATTATCAAAAAAGCTGGAGGATTTTGAAGGTATGAGTTGTGTTTAGTGTAACATATCACTCATTTCTTCAATATTACATCAATGACTGCTGAGTTTTATTTTTATTTCAACACCACAGGAGAAATATCGAGCTACCAAGATGAAATAGAGAGTGAATTAGAAAACAGTAGACCGAAAGTAAAAGGCGTATTTGCAAATTTCACTAAAGATGGTAAGTCTGTAAAGTCTTATGACTCCTTAAATAGTGTGGAGCACAGATCTGGCAGTCCGGAGTGTATGAACGTTATGGTGATAAATGTGATCATATATATACTTGCGTAGTACAAGATCTCTTGTGTTGGGGTTCTCTCTGCCAAATAGGTCGTTCATAAATCAGTCCTCAAAACAACCACATTGTTCATTTCAGGGATAGTTCATTAATGATTTCAGTTGTTTTTCTTTCCTGGTGCAGTATAAACTTGGCACTGGCACCTGAGAATGTTTCTTTTTATCACTGAAAGTGCAGTGGACCAGTATTTAGACCCTTCTGTCGCCAAATTCCCCAGTTGACTTCCCATATGGAAGGGCTTTGTGCAGGTTTAACTGGCTATTTTTAATTTGTAATTATACCAGGAAGTAGCTGACTTCTCTCACAAAGCCCTTTTACCTAATATGATAAGATGGTGCTTCTATTTTAAATGGTGACTGTAGTCACAAAAATACATTTTAATAGTCAAGGTAATGAATTTGAAGAGCATCTGGAAACTCCATGTCTTCATACACTGAAGTAAAATATTGTGTATTTCTTTTACAGATTTCCTCTAAAGATTTTTATTCTTTAAATGAGCGCCTCTCTGTTTATTTAGTTTCTGTAACAGATGGTATGCAATGATCTGTTGGGTTTTTTCCCCTTACAGATTCTATAGAAGATAATGCCTCTAGCATTCTTGGAGAGGAGGAGGCAGAAGATGAGGAACTAGAAGCAGCTGCTAATCACTTAAACAAGGACTTTTATGATGAACTTAATGAGAAGGATAGAGGTAAAAGAAATGAAGATGGGGAATGCAGAAATGGAAGTGAAACTCTTGTAAGACCCCCTGCACTGGAATCCTTGCTTGGCCCACTGCCCACCGCTGCTAGTCTTGGCATAACAGAGTCCATCAGAGAGTGCATATCCACAAAGGACCAAGAGCCTGGTGAGTAGGAGTTCAGCTCAGAGCAGAGACTGGACACAGCCAGCCAGCTGTGGGTTTGTTGTGTCATTTCCATGTATCTTGTTGGTTACTGTGGTAGCAATTCCGTGAATTGCTGAGACGTCGGGGTGCAGGAGCTGCGAGGCTGGATGGGACCAGTGGTCTTGGTTGTTGATGTGGTTGTTGACATCTGCTCTTCTGGAAGCTGCAGGAAAATCTGGGGTGCGTAATTATCTTCTGAAGCCTGAGAATGTGTATCTCTTGGTTAAGCTGATAGTTGATTTGCAGTCATATGATAGCTGATGGGCATATTTCAAGCCATGCACTCTCAATTAGGAAATTGGAGGAAGCAGGTTCCTGTAAATATGACTGGAAATTAAAACCCAAGTATGAGAATCTTAGATCAAGGCAGACTTTCTCAGGAGACATTTTACTGGAGTCAAACATGATGCAGTCTGTCTCTGATTGAGAATCTCTGCAAATGGCAAACATTTAAAATGTTTGCAAGAGGAAATAACTGGTGTGCTTTTTTCTTTGATATGAACTTCAGTGTGTATTGTGCTGGTTTTGCTCCCTTTTTCTTAAAACCTACTGATCTGTTTGCATCATACAGCACTGTATAGCACAGTGGGAGCAGGACTGATCAACTAAAGAAGCCAGTTTTGCCAGAGCCAGTATTGCAAACAGTCAGTCATCCAGGCAGGTTTGTTTGTTTTTTCATACATGTGCTTGAACTTTGTGGAGACGGCTTTTTTTTTTAATTCCTTTTCTGTCTTAATGACTCTGAAAACAACATATCTAAAGGGCATTTTATCCTTTTTCACAGTTAATTTCTCCATCATAAGACACACCCATCTGAATCTGTTGTGTCAGCTTACTTGGAGGTCTGTGCAGCAGAACATTTTGTTATCCAAACTGTTGTGATGCTGATTTTTGTTCAACAGTAGATGAACTGAACGCATTCAGATTCTTACTACGTTAGTGTTCAGTCTCCAGAAACATAGCAGGATGATTGCACATTTTTATTTTGTACAAACAAATTCATATAGAAACAGTTGAGTGGCTTTGGTTTTGTTTTAATTACGATGAAGAAAACGGATGGCTCATGGCTTGTCTTTCTCCTGGAAATCAGCGGTTCGTGTCGCAGGGAGGTCAGCCGTGGCTAGAAGCTGTTGTTGTCTGGGTGGCCAGTGACCTGTAAAAAGGAGTTCCCAGTGATGGACATTTCTCAGCTGGCATTGCTATTGACCATTTTAATGGGCAGGCTGAGGACTGAGTGTAAGATGAAGCTAAGCTGGTGTAGCCAGGGAGGTTCCTCTGAGTTGGGCTTCAGGCAGGTGGGCAGGAGAGTGCAGGGCTGCTCATGCCATGGCTTGTCTGCCTTTGCTGTTTGTTTTCTTGCAAAAGTGGAGGATGTGCCAAATGAGCTGAATTTCGAAACCAAGCAGGTTTCAGTGTGTTCACTCTCCTCTCCTGCATCTGTGAAATCATTGCAGGTGTTTGAACAAGTACTTATTTTCTTAACATGCTATGAAGCACATAAGCAAAATTACTGTTTTGTTTTCGTTTTGATTATAGATCCTGCCCCAATCTTTGTTGGATTTGGAGATTTTCTTTGGGTGGTGAGGAGGGTGTTTGAAGGAGTTTTGGATGGATTTCTTTGTTGTTTTGTTTCATTTTGTTTTTGTGACTCTGCTAATTTATTTTAATAATTTAAAACTTGTGTGTTAAGTCCAATTCAGTTTGGTTATGCCTGTACTGCAGGGTAGTCAATCTGGGTGCAGTTCCTAGTCTCCAGGCCCTTGCCATGCAGTGCCTGTGTGGTGTGGGTGCATCCCAGTGATGTGTGCATCATCCCCCTGAGGACCTGGTTTCCTTTGGGAAGTCATCTGTGCTCAGGAGCAGTAATGGAACCTTGTGTTTTGGGTGAGTGGGAACCGGGTCTAGCAGACAGGTTGGGAGGTATACCTGGCTTGCAGTTGGCTTGTTATTATGTAGAATAAAGAAAAGCTCTTGTTAAGATGCCTCACATTGGTTACCTTTGTGTCATAGCTCTGAACCTGATGAAAACCAGTGCAGATGATTCTGGCACCTCAGGCAATGTTGTTGAGTTCTGCCTCATAGTGCTGGGAAGTCTGAGAACGTAGTATTTTCTTCTGTCAGACCAACTGGTACATTAGATATTTTCCAGGTTTGTGGGCCCTTTCTCAGGCCTGAAAAAAGAAATGACAGTTTTCGAAACCAAATACAGGATGAGAGCAGTTGCTCAGAGTTTAAATTGAGATAGCGTAGTTATAGATTGTCTTGAAACAAAAGTAGTTGGTAAGTGTGGAGGGAGGAGGGAAAATAGACAAAATTTCCTGCATTTATCCTGTGTATTTGAATTTGGTTTAGTGCAGTTTATATTGTGAATTGAAGCTGGCCACAGCTTTGCTGTTGTAGTTCATGTTCCAAAATCTAAGTCCACTGGAGGAGGGAGAGTGCTGTCATAACACTGAATCCTGAAGGTGATGTTTTGGTCCTTCTCCACAGCTGTGTCAGTTGTAAATCAGGAACCTTTCCTTCCCTTAGCCCTCTCCAGCCCTGAGTCTTCTCTCACTGAGTGGGTCAAGCTGGGCTGCAGACCTTATGGAGATGATTTTGTATCTCCTGCTGGGCTCCCAATGTTGGATGGATGAATCATGTCCAGCCAGTTGAGCAGTTGGAAGCAGCATGCCTGGTGCTGCACGGTGAGGATGCCCAGCAAACTCTTGTGGTGATGTGCTGCAGACAGAGCAGGTGGCTCCTAAATAGGAGCTCAGCAAACAGGTGCAGTATTTGCAATGTTTGGCCTCCTTAAGTGCAGGGTATCTCTCCTCCTCACTGTAATGATCTCTCTTCCTCAAAAAACCTCTGCTACAGGTACCTTCCACAAAGTCTTTTCATTTGGCTTTGGCATGTGGTAATTCAGTTTATAATTGCCTACATCAGCTGCTTTGGGAAATCTTCCACCTTTGTGCTACAGTGGCAGCAGCAGCAGGTTTCTCACAAACTGCTTATGCGGATAAGACTTAGGTGTAGAGCTGAAATATTAGGAAAAAGTAAGTGTATTTTTGCTCCACTTACAATTGGTATTTGTGCAGTGTGAGCTTGTCTGTATGAATGTTTTATGAAAAGCACAGTATTTTAACAAATTTGCATGACAAAGACAGCATGTAAGGTACCGGGTTAATGAGTCTGAGGCAGGAAAGTGCTTAGAATAAACACTGCATTTGACTGTTTTTCCTACAAAATGTATTAATTTGCAGAGATTTTAAGCTGAAAACTATCTCTGTCTTATTCTTCATGATTAAAGTTCTTTATGGTGAGATGTCAGTTTCAGAGATGGAGACCAGGTACATCAGTCTGTCCATTTTCCTGGCCATGCAGCATCCCAGCATCCTCTCCACACTCAATATGCTCTTTCTGATTCTCAGTTCCTCCAAAAAAAGTGCACCATTTCTTTTAGGAGACTATCACAGTCAATATAATGGAGTTTGTTCTCAAGAAATAACATCCTTTGGTGTGAAATTTCTCTCTGCAATTTATTTTATGTCTTTTTTATACCATTTCAAATATTTTACCATCTTCCTTGGTGTTTCTGTCATTTTGCTGTTTGCTGGCTGTCGCCTTGTCCTTCCCACACTGGGCTGTACACTGCCAGTTCATCTCTTGCCACACGAAGAAAAAGTGGGGAAGGTCTGATAATAACAGAGATAAAGGTAAAATACAGGGTGTAAATTACTGAATGACTTTATATAACTTCCCCTTCATAATCTAGGTAAGGTTTGAGACCTGATTTATGTTTTGTTTTGAGTCAAAATTCACATGCAGTCATGCAGGGCAGTAATTTCAAGTAATGTGTGTGCGGTGGGTGGTAACGTGCTCCTGCACGTCCCCATGAAAGCAAGCGGCTTTAGCAGTGAGCAATCACCGTGCAAGTACCATCTTGTGCCTGCTCAGGCACCCTGCACTCACTCCTGCTTCACAGAGAAGACATGGGAAAGCTTCACAATTAGCAGTTTGCTCATTTATTGCTCCTCGTGTCTACGCCTCCATTAGTGCTGCAAGCGTGGTCTGGCAGGGGCTGAGGTTGGAGGATATTGCCATTGATTTCCGTGGGTGTTAAAGACCCCGCGCAGGCAGTGCTCCTTGATCGTGGTCCTTGTCCTGTGTACCAGCACTGTTCAGCTTCTTACTCAAGGAGGATGGGAAAAATGGCCAAAGGTGGTCTGATATGAGGTGGGGATGGGCTCATCCTCCTGGGTCTTACTCTTGTTTTCTGCATTTCATCCCCTGCAGCTGCCAGCTCCTACCTCGTAGTTCATCCTGGCCTTGGGGTTTCACCAGTCCTTCTGTGAGCAGATTCAGCTCCCTTACCCAGCAAGAAGAACACATATGTGTTCTATCCTCCTCCTTTTTTTGACAGCAGCAGATGACCAGTGCCAGCAGCACTGTGGGCAGGGGAGATGGCAGAAATGTGACGTTTCTGGCAGGGTCTGAGCTGCCATGGAAGGATGCTTGAGGGTCTGCAGGCATGTGCCAAGGAGAGTTGTTGACCCCACCTGGGATCCCAGCATGGATTGCAGGATGGTGAGCAACAGGCTCACTGCTGGTGCTGTTGTTGCTCCATCAGTGTTGGATCCCTCTTTGTACTAATTTCTTCTTCCAGCAACCTTTCTTCCTCAGATTTTGTCTGAACACATCAGTGCCAACTGTTTGGAAATATATAAATTTATATGTTACATTAAAAAGATTGTTCAATTGTTTAAATTGTTCAATCTTGAGAACAGATGTGTTAGGGGAGGCTTATCACCATGTTCCAGTATTTAAAGGGTGTGTACAGAGAGGATGGAGATTCATTTTGTGCAAGGAGTCAAATGGAAAAGACAAGGGGTAATGGGTGAGATTTTGATTGGGCAGAAGTGAAAATTTTTTCATGGTGAGATCATCCTTTGGATTAATCTCCCCAGGGAAGTGATGGA